TAAAATCATATCCACTCTCAAAGGTAAAATCATAACCACTCTCAAAGGTAAAATCACTCCCAAAAGTAGATGAAGCTCTTATTTGAGAAATAAACAATCATTTGATGAACACGTTATATAGACCTGTTATAGATTAGTTGTTTCTCCGTGTATTATGTTAAGGTAATGACTTATACAATATTCTATATTAATAGCGTAGTTTAGTTATAACGTTAAATATCTACACTATTTTACACCCTTTGTTTAAGTTGTCAGATGTATGTCATTGTAACAAGATGTTTATCCTTGTATATCTATATACATACATAATAAACAGAAAATATGTTAGCTAAATATCGTCATGTTTGTAACGAAATGAACCCGAGTGAGTGTCGGGACTTACATAAAAACCTCTGTACTGCGCTACACTATCACACCCTCTCATTAACATACAAGTGTTAAAGGGCCTAACCACAATATCGGCTGTACTTATAGTCACCGAGACAGCTTTGACAACCCGAACTGTAAATCACAGAAATAGATCAATAAAAAATATTATATAAATGAAGAAACCTTTTGTAATTTAACACAGAAACAAATATGAAATATAGAAATTAGAAAATATGACATTTTATAAAGTATCCCACAAAATGTGATTTTTTTTTTCGCACTTGAAGTGCACAATGCGGTCGTCAATTTGCCACCACAATCCCATGCTGTTTCCCACTCGTAAAGGATAATAAACGATAGAGAGCTTATCGCAGTAACTAAGTGTCCTCTTAAGTAGCCGTTATGCTATAACCTATTGACAATACACACGGAGCAGATAGCAGACAGTCAGTCCACGTTTTGGATTAACTCTTATTGTGAGCTTCGACTCTTGAGCTGGCTGTGGGCGAAAATGACTGCTGAAATATAAAGTTATACTTTGAAGTGTGAATTTAGACTAAATATATGTTATAATCAAGAATTTTCGCGGTTAAAATATCCAAATCGTATTGTGTGTTTAATCCCAAAATTATTTATATAATGTAGATATATAGTCCATGTTATGTTTCGCTGTCAAGTTCACACTAGTGAACATTAACGGCCAAGATTTCAGGGATTGTGTACTAGGTCATTAGTAGTGACGGTAAATACTTGGTTCAATCCATATCAGTTCGTGATAGTCAGTGATTGTCAACACATATCTCACCAAGCTGCTTCTCATTGTGTACTGGAGGGATGTTGAAATGAACTGTAAACATTGATATTTATTGTTATTATTATTATTGTTATTATTATTATCATTGTTATTATCATTATTGTTATTATTATTATCATTGTTATTATTATTGTTATTGTTATTGTTATTATTATTATTATTATTATCATTGTTATTATCATTATTTTCTGAACAAGTTATCGAAGTATGTTTTATCATGGGAATTTAGCAGTTTAAGACCACTATATTCGTTATTTCTAAAATCCATTTCGATTAGTTTTGTTTTGTGGGTGTAAACTGATCAATTTAAGCGAGGCAGTTTTAAATTATGCTAAGAATAGATCACCTTTCATCATGACCGGATCAGTCGAGTATAAATAGTGAGTTGTTTTTTCCGAAACACGTGTATTCATTCATAAAAATAAAAATAGATTTTCAAATGATAACAGTAGTGATTAAAGCTTCGTTTCTACATGTAATTACTATGTACATTTCACCACATCGTACCTACATGTAAATCAAGGATATAAACTTTTTTCACTAAGAAATTATTGGACAATTTGTACAATGTTCTATAAGATACATTAGATAAAACCTTCTCTTTCTTAATCAATTTCAAAATACCACAGTTCATATATGTCCTGACTGTTATAGATATGATCACTGTTACATGATGAATTCAGGGTATATAATTTTTGTATATAAGCCAAGGTAACATACATATATGACTAGGGGCAAATGGGCTTAAATAGCTGACATGATTAATAAACCAATTGATTGATTGCCGAAATTCACGTCAATACATACAAAATGCCTCATCATCACGGACATAAGTGTGAAAATCGTTATCAAAATAACTTCTAAATCAGGAGAACACATTTGAGCCAAATATTAGCATGTGCAACAATTAAGGTAATTCAATCAGTTGTGAAAAATGTACACGTTGATGTATCATAGAAAATTTTGCTGAGCAATATCGCAGGTGCATAATCAGGTATATAGTGTAAAATTCAGGCACATGCATAAAAAACGAAAAAAAATTGGCCATTTTACAGTTGAAGTCATAGGTTGGCTTTTAACGTGATATAAGGGTAACCTGATTTTATCAAATTAAAGACCTGTTTTAAAATTAGAACTCTAAGTTCAATCAGATAATTTTAGGTCGTCGATATAATGATAAGTAATGTATGTTAGAGTCAAAACACAGATGAGAATTCCCATATTGTAACAGTGGACCACTTAATTCATAAAGCATTACATGATTGTTGAAATGACATATCTGCATTTTTCCATTTTTTTCTGCTTGAGTTTTGATATGAAATATGGCCTACATTCTTCATATATCACAAAATGCTTGTATGTCAGTGACGTGACCATCCGTTTAAAAATCAATTGTAGACTGAGAATATGACGTCTGATTTTATCTCCTTCAGTATTGTTAGATTTATGCAAAAATAAAAGAATTGTGGATAATTAAAAATATATATATTTGTAACTAAATCATTTCTTATGTAGTCTCCACCATAAACGGATTATAACTTGGTGGTATTTCGTTAAAAATGAAGGCACAATTCAAGCGAATAAACACGGTAGTGTAATTATAAGAACCGATTACACTGACGAATCATCTATATTTATAACCCCATATGTTCGGTAATATACCTAACAGTTTCGACACATCTGGTGTCTCAGCGCTAATTACAATGACATCTGTAGTTGTTGCTTATGTTTCCAAAACAATTGTTTTCACTAAATTTTAATAGGAAATATCATAGATCAGCGATTTTTTTTCTCAGAGCCAAACATCTTACCTAAAAAGTAAGTATCTTGTGTTTACAAACTATGTCTAAATGTGTTATATTTCTAAAAACAACTAATGTCATCTCTTGGCACCATGCCACGACCGGAACCTATAAGACATTAGCTATAAGAAATACCATAAAAACGGAGGTATTCCGGAAGTGTACTCCATTACAGCACCGCATGTGGTATCTGTCAACGTATCCGCGATCAAGTCCAAATGTACATAGAAGAAATCACGCTAATTTATATATAACTAGATAAACCGATTTGATAGCGGTTCAGGCAGTAGTTTGATCATACGTACATAACATTACACGTATTTCGTTGATATAGTGATATTTAATATTTCCGTTAATCTGGATTTTTTTTTTTAAATCCACAGGGTTAAACACTCCTATTGACATACGGTATTTAAATCCCGTCTGTATGTGTCATCGGAGGAGTGCTCTGTCCCCTCGACAATTTAACTAGATTCCAAAACAACCCCTCATTTCCTACTGGTAGGTATATAGAGTTGATGACATTAACTTCTCATTCATTCCATACTATCTAAATAAACAGAGTCTATATTTGTTTTAATTCTTCATTCATATCCGCACGTTACGTATGCCATTGTTTACTAAACATATGCATACCCAAAGGCATGGAGGTCGAGCCGGTTGTATGTTTACTTCAGCTTTGACTAGCATCATGTGTTTATATTAATCATATTCTATCTCCTACAGTAGGGTGGCGGTAATAAAAGGTCGTAGTTATGAATATATAAACGATTCCATTGTCGTTGTATAGCCATGTGCATTCTTGTGTCAATAATAATTTGCTCTTTGTAAGCTTTGCCGACAGAACCGCCTTACACAAGGGAGTATGGGCCAGTTTAGTAACAGCCAAAAGCCTGTGTATCCACTCGGGTGTATCCGTCATGAGAGAGGGTGTGTGTTAAGTGTTGGGAACGGCAACTATTTGACAGCATGAGAAGACTGACATACACCCGGATAGCAGACGAGAGTGACTGGAGTTCCAATGGGAACCGTGAAGGATCGACAGTGAATGCACGTGTTTTACCGACTGCCACGGAAATGTATATCACAGCCACGTATGTATGGAGGATATGGGACTCGACATAACTAAATATGCAGTGATACAGGTGGACTATAGACAATGACTGATGTACTTTAAAGAACAATATAAAATAGTCTGTTCTTAATTCCGGAACATCAAAGAAAGTCATTCAGTATCGGTGAACATTATTTGTTTTAACTAGCATTTAAATCACCTCAAGTTTGGTCATTTTTGTATTATAGAAGAACCATTATACGTTTTCACTACTACTTCAACATGATTTTAAGAAAGGATAATAAGAATATACATTGTCTATAACCATATTGACTGAGAACCGCCTGCTGGAACACACAAATCATGTATATGAAAGAGAAGAAAATACAGGGAAAATCTCAGGGAGGAAAAACAAATCTCACTGCTTGAGGATTTTATATAAGCACGTTTAGTGTTTTTTACTGGATGTCAGGGAATGTATTTGTACATTACTACAAAATCAATTATATTATTGTAACGTGTGTTATAACAGATAAGCTGGTACAACGTCCAAGGCACTATAGAACTGCTTAGAATCACTGGTATTTTACAATGGGATGCTGTTTACAGGCACGATAATATTTCTTTGGGAAATAAGATGTTACAGAGTGAAGAATACAAAAGTGATGAAAATCTGACAATTGGAATTTCCATGGATATTTCGGAGATGCTATGAATTGTAACAAATACGGATACATCAACATTATTTTCTACAACGCTGTTTTAATTCTACCTCATTTTTAAATGTGGTTGTTGGTACAATGCAGTGGATATTTGTGAAGATATTTATAATGCATCAAGGCTAAAGGAACTTATTGCTGTGTTCGATCTATTCTATGTTTATGGATTGAAAAACAAAATATTGTAGTTTCTTACAACATTTCTTTACAAGGGAACAAAATCCAAAATAGTATTGTACCAGAAGGATTAAGTTATATTCTCATACAAAATGTTAGTAAAAGGAAACTTTTTACACAATTTTCTTGATATATCATACTCAGCAATCTTAATATTATACACGATAAAAGACAGGGAATGAACAGACAACAATCAATATTAGTGGTATGTTCGCTTCCGCATGTGACCTAAGAACTAAGAATTACAGACTTGTAAACAATAATGACAGGCCGGTGGAATACTCCTTTGAAAACGGTTTGAGAATACAGATGACAAAAGCTGTAGTTCAGGTAGACTACAAACAATTTTTCTCATTTTTATTTGAGGAAAAAAATGACATTAAAGTGACGATAGAATTGAATTTATTAATAAAGAACCTGAGGGGCTGAAAAGTCCGTAGCTTGGTCCCAGATCTGATATGAAGTTTGTAACCCAATACAGAGTGTTTTCTTACGTTGTAAACTACCTGATCTTAACTCTGATAGTTCTACCTTGTGCAGATTCATGTATACTTTTACTAAATGGATGGACACCCCTGTCCGTGTATGAAAGGACAGGAATGGCAGATGCAGTTGCGTCCGGATTTGTAATGAGGACATTCAAGGACGTCAGGACAGACGCACATACATACAGTGCTGAAGTGAAAATATTACAAATTTACAAAGGTGTTGAAAACTTCCGTGAAGTAACAGCTAATGAAAGTTTGGGAAACATATATAATATCAGTAATTTTGGTGATAAGAAGATGTGTTATGCTGATATCGATGAAAACGAAAGTTATATTTTCTTTTTAACTGTCTATAAAGAGCGGTTATCAGCACAGTATGATGACATTTTTGGTGCTGCTGTAGATTTCACGGAGGAAAACGAGGATGAAGTTATACAACAACTAGGTAAGTAACGTCACTTTTACATTTCTCATTTGCCCACGTGTTGGTCATATGGTTAGTTTTAAAGAGAATATCATTACCTATATATAATTTCACAGATAGGCAGAGTTTATTCATTAATCTTGTATGTTAGTTTTGATATCGAACACAAGTTTTATCTGTACAGTGTTAGCCAGAATGTTAGATTGCAATTTGTAATCCTATCTGGGCACAGTTTGCTTAAAACCTTCCAATTTTCCGGAAACGTTCTTAGGAATGTTACATTTTTTGTTTCTTTTTACCCACTGTTTTATCTCAGAAGATACAGAATTCCTGATAAAATTTCCGAAAACTAAATAAACACTTATAAGCGTAACGTAAATAGTTTGTTATTAATCAGATTCACAAACCTTTATTCGGATGTGCATCCTAGATATTATCATTATGATATTATCCATATTTCAAACTAGTTCTGAATAACCTCCTCGTCTCAAAAATACAGCTCATATCCGAGGTAACGACCAAGTCAAGTTTTTTTTAAAGTTCTTGGATTTCAGTTTTCAAGTATGTTCGCTCTAGATATTTGTGTTTTTAAAACGATGTGACTCAAGCACTATCTGATCTTTGGTGCAAAGATAAAATCTGCTTCTTTTACATTTTCTATCTTTGTTATATCTATTTAACTCGGGAAATACCATTTGTATAATTAAGTTACGTGGTATGTGGGCCGTTCTACAACGTAAAGGTTTAAATAGCAGCAAGTTTAACTTTGATTCCTTCTAATTACTTAATTAATTAAATAAACATTGCATTACCAACATGCTTACGTCGATCTGATTGCTTAATATGTTTCTAGTCGGTGAATATTCCTATAACTAGAATAAAGGACACGTACATATATCACAGCATGCACGTGTATTACATGAGCATGAGAAAGACTTGATCCAGAGACAAGTAGAAAGTTATACTTGATGATTTACAGTGTATTGGGATCGAGACAGAATTATAAATGATGTTATCTTGTAGATTGCAAATTAGACATCATAGACGAATTTATAAATAATTCTGGCTAAGATCACGTGTTTAACTAAACTATTGTTTTAACAGTATGATAAGGGTACTGGATTCTGGTTTATATCACGTCTGTTATGTGACATATGCCATAATCATTAAAAATACACAACGCTCAATTTCAGTTAATTAATTATGAAAGAGAAAAGCCGTGTTTATGCAATAATATTCATAAATCAGAGAGGGTATAATTTGAATTTTTGTTTTATGAACATCAGATGGAAATCAGCACCTGACAGATTTAAGATAAATATGTGAACTAATTTGATCACAAGGGTATTTCTTACAATTACCTCTGTTTTCAGGATCTCCCAGCATGCTCACAACTTCAAAAGTTTCTCTGTTATCGGTCTTATTCATCAACTGATCCATTACAGCGTTGTATACTTCTAAATATCCTCCAAAAATGTAATCCGTTTCTACATACCATGGGTTACCAAATAACAGAATCCAAGTGTTATTGTGAACACCGGTTGACTATTAGCCTGATTCTAGTATAAATAAACGTATTTCCCGGATTATACCCACGTGCTTATGTAACGTTACCGGGATTTACTCATCCGTTTGATTATAAAAATGCATATTAATTATGAACTAATAGACTTGGCATGCATTTCGCGTTGCCCTGATCTTCGGTTAAAAAACAACTACAACGATATCGTCTTACCGCCTGCCTTTAAGTCACATTTCAACAAGCGTAATGTGAAAAGTTTTACAATTAACGCAATTACTCAGATTGACGAATAGGGTACATGTGTCCCATATGAATTATTTGCTAATATAAACAAGGATGCATTAAATCAGTATTAACATATTTTTAAAAAAAACACGTTACACCCATACAGATGGTAGTATGAAAATGTGTGAAAATCTTTCTACTAAAAATCCCATAGGAAAAAAATAATAATGACAACCACCACTTGAAGCTCCTCACCCCACTCCATACTTCTCCCTTCCCCATCATAGATACTCACATGAATAAACTTCTTATATAGATAATACAAATCTTACATAGATGATTCCAATTCTTATACAGATAATACAAATCATTATATTGATAATACAAATCTTATATATATAATACAAACTCTGATATAGACAATAAAATTCTTATATAAAATGTGTGGGCACGGATAATCTTTTCCCTATAAGATAATCAGTCAACCGCTGGTGAAACATTGTAAACCTTGAAATAAAGTTCTATATAAGTAAAACTAACATAGAGGAACAAATAACAACATTTATAGGTATAACACTAACATGGAGGAATATTCTGTTTCTGGAATAAACACCGACAAATAACAACATTTATAGGTATAACACTAACATGGAGGAATATTCTGTTTCTGGAATAAACACCGACAAATAACAACATTTATAGGTATAACACTTACATGGAGGAATATTCTGTTTCTGGAATAAACACCGACAAATAACAACATTTATAGGTATAACACTTTCAACGATAAATAAGCAAAACACAATCACAAATGAATAAAGAAACATAAAAAATAGTTTAAGTTCAGCCATAATTAAACCTGACAATGACCATCTCATTTGTGCGATATTTGTTTACTAGAAACTAGGTCATGTGATATTTAGTGACAAATTAAGTGGATTATGTTTGGTAGCTGTTTGATATGCTAAAATACATCAACGAATGAGGTAAAATTTTACTTTTATCTTCATATTTGATAAACATTATCGCATTACTAAGTGACTCATACTAAACCTGAATCAGGCCATCGATCACAATCACTCTCAATATCAAAATTAATAACATCATGTTCTTTTAAAACAAATGCTAGTGGAGTTTCAAAGCCATCTCTCTTTTTTTTTTTTTTTTTTACATATAATCAGAAGTCAAGTCATACCTTCATTTAAGCTGTTTGTGGGTTGACGTTCAGATGTTCCCATTTTCACGGATTATATCTCTAATTGTATGTAGCTATTAGAAATATAAATGGTGACTAATTTGTTTATTTAAAAAAAAAACCAGCATGTTATAATATTGTACACATGTTCAAACGGTCAATCGCGGCCACCTATATGTTGTATTTCAGGTATACATTTCACCTCATACTAGACTGACACGGCGTACTCTCTGTGAATAGCCACTCCACCCTTTAAGAGAATTAAATCACCGTCGACATACGATCAGGCACGGGTAGGCTAGGTCACCCATCGCTTATATAACACAGACAATTGTCCATGTAGCTTACCTGGTGAGAATGATTGACAGATTAACTGACTCGTACAGTTCCGAGTTTTACAAAATTATGAATGGATACTGACTGTATAACACTGCCGTTATATTATTATTTTATTCATTAGAATAAATTACTCTAACATCCTGTCAAATTTGTGAAGACTTTAACGACTAATTAGGTCAAATGAAATATAAATCAATTTAGTGTATTAACAGTGCCAGCGCTCTCTATTTTTGTCAGTGGTACAAGAAGTGGAAATTAGTCCGTGGCGGGAGATCCTGTCTATAGCGTGATTACAACAGTGTGAAGGTCGTAGTTATACAATTCCTCCAAACCGCATTTTCTGTTTTCTAATGAAGCAAAATAACTTGCGCTAATATATTTCATTATACGTTAAGTTTTATTCCAAGCATGCATTTCGTTGTCGACAATACATTGGTAAGTTAAAAGCTGATAATACTGTCACTGGTAACATAGTACAAAATTAAAATTGTCTTTCCTTCCTTGTAGATGAATAAGTCTTATTTTACTTCAGAATATAGATTTATTAGAAACTAAGCTCTTAAATATCTGACATGGCACATAAAAAGTTCCAAGTATCTCCTCTACGACTATAACCCCCGGGAATTCCTCACATTGCTGGTGGTAGGTAAAACACAGATAAAACCTCCTTCTATAAATTATACAATCAATTAAGTTGTAATAAATCAGTCTCACAAAATGGATTTAGGGTCGTTGGTGGTACAGAGTAGACAAAGTCGTGTATACATTATACAGTTAATTGAAATCTGTATTATTCTTAGTCGTTTTAGAGTAGATAAATCAATCGTCGAATGGGTACTCCACATATATTATTGATAATATAATATTACAAGTTGTACTATACCAGCCCCCTATTGTTTGTAATGAGTGTACTAATAGCACTCTAATTCTCAACATGACCTAGACCCAACTTTGTTCTAACTCATTTGTTTCATAACATAATCATTTGAAATTTTTATTTTCTCTGATCAAACAAAACAAATTACATTCCTTTAGTGTGTTTTTTTCGGTTTTGCATCACAGAATATTTGTATTGTTGATTTTATTATGTATTTATATAAAATTGATCATTGTCTGATGTTTATGTGATAATGCTATATAATACCAAATTCATTAATTTCTTATCACCATGTTTCATGAATAGTAATGTATGATATATAATGTTTTAAAGCATACCAATTAACAAATTTGTTATAGAAATGAAAACAATTTAAAATAAATTCTACATTATTTAGTTTATCATGTCTAGAAATTGAATTCAGAAACGAACCCTAGTTGGACTGTGTGTGGTATTAATATGACTCAGTTGTGATATAGATAAACGCGAGTCGATGTTGACTTAAACTCCACGCCCTGAAAACCATTGTACTTCAGAGCTCATTAAAGAGTCCTTAGAATTGCATTTGTTTCAAAAATATTTTTTGCTGTGATATCTAGTACTTAGATACGAAGGCGTTAAACCAATCTTGGACAATAATAATTTCACTGTTTATTAGAAAACGTGCTTACACATTCATAAACAAAACAAGACATGTTCGGTTTATAAAAAAACAAAACCGGAGCAAATAAGAGAATGAACATGATATCAGAGACAGCGTTAGGAATTTTATGTCCACATTCTACCTGAAACATGGATACGAGACTCCATCACTGCTACCAACCATGTTCGTGCAGGGGTTAAAATGTATGACTAAATAGCGT